TGTTCAACTTGTGGTCTACCTGGACTCCTAGATCCCTTTCACATGTAGAGATCCTGCACTGCAGCCAGGAGACAGGATGGAGGCAGAGATTATCACAAGCTAAATCGCCACTGAATTGCCAGCTGCCATCAGCCCAGGTCCCAGTCAGGCTCAGCCAGTGCTTTTTAGAAAACAGAAAGTGTCCTGGTTTCTAAAAAAAACCTTGGACTTGGGCTGATGGAGGCCAGAGATTCAGTGGTGATTTAGCTTGTGATAATCCCTGACTCCATCCTGTGTCCTAGCTGCAGCCTGGGAAGCCTGAGTCGTTTAAAAACACCAAACAATAAATTTGCTAGATTGTCATTTTCATGTGTGCAAGAATGAGGACTCAACCTTCCCCCCTTCTTTCCCAAAGAGACAATTAGAACCAACATGGTGCAGTGATTTGAATGTTGGACTTGGATTCTAAGAGAACAGAGTTCAAATCCCCATTCAGCCATGAAAATCCAAGAAAGTCGTACATTCTGTCTCAGAGAAAGACAATGCAAACCTCCTCTGAATAAATCTTGCCAAGTAAACCTTGGGAAAGGGTAATCATAAGTCAGAATTGAGTTATGACAACGTAGGCAAGTAACAACAAAATATGATGAAATATTTTCTTTCAGTAGTTGTGAATGAATTAGGGGAGGGGAGGTTGTAACAGGGAGACTCCAAATAAGAATTCTGCCATCCAAATGAAATTTTCCTTCAGCCTCAAATTTTTAACACTGCAGAGAGCAAGACAGTGAAAATTGTTCACAGACAGAGCTCTTTTATTTGCTGTGTTTCCATTTCCTTTGTAATTTAGCCTACCCCTTTTATTTTATTTTTGTTGCTATATTTATTTGTATCCCACTTTCCCCCAAAAATTGGGGCTCAATATGGCTCACAATTTAAAAGAACAATACAATTAAAAACATACAAAACCTGAACATTAAAATATTATTAAACGATTTACAGTATTAAAATATTCACTCTCAAGTTAAAAGAATAAAATACAAGTAAAAAGATAAAAATGCTCTTTAAAACAGTTTGCTTATATACTACAGGACCCCCAGCCCAGTGATGGAGAACCTTTTCGAGTGCTGCATCTCTCTGGCTTTCTAGGAACAAACAATGGCAAACTCAGTGAAGGGACAATGGCGCACATGCCCACAGAGAGGGCTTCGAGTGCCCCCTCTGACACGTGTGCCATAGCTTTGCCACCACTGCCCTAGCCTGTTCTTTAAACATTTTCTGTTTTAAAACCTTGTTTGAATAAAAAGGTTTTACCTTGTTGCAGGAAGGACAACAAGGAGGAGGCCATTTCAGAGTCTAGGAGCAGCCACCAAGAAGGCCCTCTCTCATGTCCCCAACAACCATCTTTGTGATGGTGGTGGGACTCAGAGAAAGGTCTCTCCTAATGTTCTCAGAGCCTGGGCTGGCTCATACAGGGAGATACAGTATCCCAGATAGCCTGGACCTGAGCCATATAGGACTTTATAGGTCATAACCAGCACTTCTGAATTGTGCTCACAAACAAACTGACAGCCAGAGAAGCTCTTTCAGCAGGGGCACTGTGTGGTCTCTGTAACTGCTCCAGTTAACAGTCTAGCTGCAGCTCTTTCGATGCCTAAATATTATTTTAAGTTGCTGCAATACTGACAATTTGGGGAGAGAAGGAAAAATTCACGTGGAGGGGGCAGAATTCTTAATTTGGAGGAGGCCAGTGTTTTCACCTTGCCCCTCCAGTAGCTGCATCACTGAAATAATTATTTGTATCTGTCTTCCATGTGCTTTTCCTCACAATGCAGTAAGGTATTAGTATTGCACAGAGATATTTTGCACCAATTGTAGAAACTTCAACTAAAAAAACCCACTTTCATCTTCTCGTTCTCACACCGGAGGCAAGAAATATCACAGGGGCTTACAAACTCTTAACAGCCTGTCTCGGTGTGTCTGACTGTCTCACGGAGAATTTAGCACAATTTCTTCACAGTCCTGTTTTTTAATACCATGCTCCCTGTTGAAATAATTGCCTCCCTACCATCATATTTTTTTTAGTTTTACATTCTTCTCAAGGAGTTTGAAGAGAAGTGAATAGCTGGCAAAAGTGAAAGTCATCTACAATAAACAATTAACAAAGGGGTTTCAACTCAGATAATGCCTATCAAAGGATTGTTGTTGTGTCCCTCTAAGTTATTTCTGACTTCTGGCAACTCCAAGGCAAATATATCACAGGGTTTTCTTGGCAAGACTTGTTCAGAGGGGCTTTGCCTTTGCCTTCTTCTGAGGGCAAGAGACATCAAGCAGTGGAGTATCATGGCCAAGGGGGGAATTAGAAACCTGGAATGAGACTACACCTACCAAAATATTCCGGGCTGCCCCTGGAATACTCTGGCCTCTAATTCCCTCTGAATTCACCCCTTACCTGCTCTCTTTTGCTGTGGGTTTTTGGTTTTCACAGCAAAAACAAGCAGGTGCCTACCCACGTGGCCCCTGTTTGTCACCCGGTGCCGCTGCTGAGATCAGGACATGGCATTCAGCCATACTACTGATGGAGAGCACCTCATTCTGTCCTCAGAGAGACTCACATCTGCAGTGGTGCCAGGCAGGTCATGGGGACCACAAGTGAAAAGGCAGTTCCCACTGTCGCTGTAAAGACAGGCAAAAACCCACAGCAAAAAGTGAGTTATTTAAATGAGGGTTAGGGCATGAAGCCCCAAATCGGGTGAAGGTGTCATTAAGAGAGTCCAGACCGAATTCAGGGTCTTGGCCCTGCATCATGTAAACAGGACCCAATGAGCCCAAGGGTAATTCAGGGTAAATCTTCCATGAAGACAAGCTTCCAGTCTCCAGAGTCATAATCTGACACCCAACTATACACTGTGCTGCCTCCCATTCAAAGACATCCGATGCAAAGCCTACAAATAAAATAGATTTGCAGAAGCTGCCTATGCAGATGTTGACACAGCATGTAGCAACAACAAGCCACATCTAAATATGTGCATGTATGTGTGTGTGTTTTTTTTAAAAAACATTTTGATGATGGCAATGTTCTGGTGGTGAGCCGGCATGTTATTGTGGTTTGAGTGTAGGAGTAGGACTCTGGAGATAGGGGTTTGATTCTACGCTTGGCCATGGAAACCCGGTGGGTGACCTTAAGCAAGTCATACCCTCAGAGTTCCGGAAAAGTGTGTGATAGGTTTGCCTTAGGGTCACCATAAATCAGAAATAACTTGAAGGCACACAGCAACAACAAATGTTCTGCTGAGTATGTTTGTTCCTGAGGATATGGGGCTTCTGTGAGTCACTGAAGGCAGAGCTAGCAGCCTAGCTCTTTATAACTGCTGCAAAATAGACTCAGTTAGGGAGGTTACAGGTCTAAACTTGCAAGACCTAAGCAGAGCAGTGGAGAACAGGGGGCTTGGCGATCCACAGGGTCATCATGAGTTGGGGTCAGCTTGTGAGCAGTTAACAACAATGCATCTTCATGTGTACATCTCTCCATACATATGTGCATGCACATAATTTCACATATAAGAATAGAGTCCACCTCAAATTCTAATCCAGGAAATTAAAAATACTCTTCTACAAGCAGGCTGCTTGCTAATTCCTACAGCAATGTCCTGTAATGTTTCAAGTAGTCCCTAGTAGTGTGGTTAACAGTGATGTCAGAACTAGAAACCTTTCAAAAAAACCCCAGAAGAACAACTCCTAGAAGTGTTCTGTCTAGCTTAATCAGAAGCTATGAAATCTCAGGATGAAATTATCATTAAGCTGTGTAGCACATTAAACAGAAAAAGAGAAAAGGGGGGAGCCTAAATGCCAATGAGACTTTGTCTGAATTTATTGTACTTGCTTTGTAGACAAAAACGTGCTGTGTTTCCTTCTAGACTCTGAGGAGCTCCAAATGACAGTTGCCAAAAACCCTGAATACTACAAGTCTTAGGGAGAATCAGTCTTCTGGAAAACACTGATACGTTTTAGCAGAATGCATTACAGCCTGTCAGAAAAAATTACCCAAGAAGGGAAAGTACTTCACAGTCAAACCATATTGGCCGCTTAAGCCAATTAGGTAAAGTTTGATCTTTTCAGACCCTTAAAGACCAGTTCTCTCCAGTTATCTAATTGGTGTTTCATTCTTTTTTTCCTATCATTTTCTCTAACTCTATTGTCTTCTCTTCCAAAATCTTATCAAGCTCCTATATTCCTATAGGAATGCAAGAAATTTTACAAAAGAAAATGATTATCTTTATGTGTTGCCAAGTTACACAATATAACACATGACACTGCAGTGAACCACTCAACACAGAAAGTGGGGGAGGACAAAAGCATAAACAATCTCTCTGTTTTAATATGATAGCATTTAAATGTTATGTTGTTATTTTTAAAATACAGTGGGCCCTTGGTATCCAATGGGGCTTGGTTCCAAGACCCCCTGTGGATACCAAAACCCATGGATGTTCAAGTCCCATTAAATACAATGCAATGCATAGTAAAATGGTTATCCCTATATAAAATGGCAAAAATCAAGCTTTGCTTTTTGAAATTTATACATACATTTTAATATTTTCAAGCCGTAGATGCTTGAATTGGTGGAATAACGAATCTGTGAATATGGAGAGCCAACTGCAGCTCACTTCAGGTACAAACTAAGCTTCACTGACTTTGGTCTAATAATCTGTACTGCAGAAATAATGCAGTTTTACCCCACTTTAACTGGCATGACTCAATGCTATAGAATCCTAGGAAACATAGTTTTCATGGCACCAGAG